ATAATAACAAGAAAGAGTGAAGAAAAACTTTCTGTTAATTCTGTTTTAAGATTAAAGGCTGAAATACTGGCAGGTAATTTCCCAGAGAGCTACTTCTCTCAGAGTTTCCCTCATTTGCCTTGTCATCCCTACAAAAGCCACTTTGCTTTTTTATTGATCTAGAAACTGAAAGCATAAATATTTGACTTTCTCCAGAGGCACATGTGTGCTCCAATTTTCCAGGGCCCTTAAAGAAAGCTATTATGACCCGGTAGGCAAGGAGCTTATTCAGTTTTATTCTGTATCTATTTTCCAGTTACTGAATTTCCTAAAGATGTTGCTGAAATCGAATGGGCTAAAACATTAAAGTTTTATTGTCATGACGAATACTCTTAAATGTATTCTGATTCAGAGCAGGTTAGTCAGTTTCACATGATTGTAACCCCACAAGCTATGCGGAGGGTATAGTTTCAGATTTGGTTGACTTTTTTGAAGCACCCTCCCAATACCAGCCATTTTACTAGAGGATTTCCATAAACTACATTTTAATATATGTATTATAATACATATGCATTTAATTATCACACAAATTTGTGAGTTAGCTGACATTCTCTCCAGGGATATAATTCTGCTTTCTCCAGGTCATACTAGTAAAGCTAGTAATAATCTTAGCTACCATTTATTTAGCTCTTACCTGGTATTGGACCCTGTGCTAACACTTATGCCTACAATGTCTTATTTAATCCACACAGTAACCTTCTGAGGTAGATAGTTCTAAATCCAATTTCACAAATGAGGGATTTGTAGTCAAGAGGAGTGACGTAACTTCCTCAAGATTATGTGGCGAGGGAGTTTGGAGACCCTGTGCTTCTGAAGGCAGCGGGGCCAGAATTTCAGCCCAGTTCTCCCAGCGTCCCTTTCTCTCCATTGTGATGTGGTGGTACATCAGAGCAGACAGATCTGCCTCAGGGGCCAGTTGTTGCTCATACTTGACCTCGTGGTCTTAAGTGAGCTTTTGCGTGTGTTCCTGATGGTACAGTTCCTGCTGATGTGTAAAGCAGAGGAGTCATGGGGTGGTTCCTGGTGCCAGGTTACTAGAGGATAAAGAAGGACAGCATTAAGCAATGCAGTTGATAGTCCCTCTGCAGAAGGTATACTAGCAAGGACACATGGATGTGTCCACGGATAGCTCCTACAGCCCGTTCTTTCTCTAGATCTCTCACAAAACATAAAGAAAGGAAAGCCAGCTAAAGAGTGAAAACTCACAGACACGGGTTTAAATGTCTCTTACTGACCACGTTCATTCCCCTGTTCCAGAGGATCAGCTAGAATTTGATACATGGGAAGGAGGATCAGGAAGTGAAAATCCAAGTAACATAAAACGATCAACCTGCGGAAACTCCCTGAAACCAAGTATTGGGCACAGACTGTCCTGGTAACAAGTGGCTGATTCTAAATGAGCCAGGCTGTTAGGGCAAAGACTTCCTTTGCTTCATAAGCCCCGGTGCTCAGCAAATAGTGAGGACAGGCAGAGTGCAGTGTATTTTGGCTTTTTCATTTGACCTTTCCAGAATCCTAATTAAGGATATTGCAAATTCTACATAAACAGACCATGCTGCAGTTGGTTGCCAAAATATTTGCATCGTATGTGTATCATGTATCAAATTCTATATCCAAACGGTGACCAATGGCTCTTGTAGACCAAGCTCCCAATTGGAATTAGTCATTTTTTCTTCTATGAGCTTAAATAAATTAACTTTTAATCTTATTTATGGACTCTACCATATTCTGCCAATATATATTTGTGGAAGTGCTTGTTTACATATTTCTTTTAAAGTCTTTCTCTTGAAGCAGCTGCTTATTAAAATAACTATGAAGAGTTGATATTTTTTTACTGTCCTTTTGATACTGGTCTTTTGGTATTTTGAGAGCCTATGTACTTTATTTAGGAGCTTGACTCTGAGGAAAACTAAAAAGATAAAAGGGATTTTATGAACAACATTGATGTGTCCCCAAAACTTAAGAGCAGTTGCTAAACGTTCAGACTGGAATCCTATTTTAGTTTCCTCATGGTCTTCATTACCTGTCATTCATTTCACACACGGAAAGCATTGACTATCTTTCCCCCTCCCTCCCCGCTCCTTGTTTTTATGCAGAGAAGTGTGTTGCGAAAAGACCTTCACTGCTTTGTGCAGGAAGCTCATAAAATTGCATTAAAGAACCTGGCTCAGGACGAGCGGCTTCCCAGGCCCCATCTAAGTAGTGCCTGTGGTTGCACATATGCTGTTTTCTTCCCAACACTCAGATATTTCAGTTCCAGTCGAGATTCACATCACCTAACACTAGCAGCTGCTCTCCCACCTTGAATTCTGTGGCCACCTGCATCATCGTGATTTTGGTGGTTAGAAATGCTGGGTAAGAAAAGAAAGACTGCTGAGCAGGTTTGGGTACCAACTCTCCTTTGGGTTGGCCTGTAACCCCGGGCAAGAACCCTGGCAGAGGGTGTCCAGAGTCCACTCAACACAAAAAGGGTATAAACGTGTACCTGCTCGATGGGCTTGTGTGTTTTAAGTGAAAAAATGGAGTAATGTGAGAAATGTGCTTCAAGCCTTTAGAACAAAATGGTAATGAAAATCTAAGTTTTGTGAAAGATAATTTGCTAACATCGTTCTTTTGGGAGTGGATGCATGTTTGGTTGTATCGCTTGGGCGAAGCATCCTTTCACCAGTTTAGATTCTTTCTGTGACCTGTAATGAAACAGAACATTCTAGTAAGCAAACAGTTTGTATGCGTGCTTGTTTTACGGAGGAAATGGGAACGCTTGGCAGCAACCAGCTTGAGGTTAAAAATTTAACAGTTCCAGAGCCTTCAAAGATCAGAATGGACTCTCAAACTGAGAAGAACTAGGACTTAAGCTAAATATCTTCCCTCTTTTTATTTCTTTCCTTACTTCCTTGTGTTTGCCTTTATCTGCTCTCACTCATTTGTGACTACAAATTAAATGGCCCCTTTCCTAGCTTCTTTTATTGACCGTAAACAAATATTTTTCAGCCTTATTGAAGTATAATTGACAAAAACAATTTTAATATACTTAAAGTGAATAACAGGATGATTTCATTTACATATGAATTGTGAAAGGTTTCCCATCAAGTTAATTAACACATCCACAACCTCACATATTTATTTTATTTAATGAGAACACTTAAGTTCTACTCTCAGCAAATTTTAATGAAGTAATACAGTATTATTAATTATAGTCACCATGTGTTACATTAGATCCTTAGATCTTATTCATCTTATAGAGAAAGTTCGGACCCTTTTACCAGCCTCTCCCTATTTCCCCACCCCCAGGCCCTGGCCACCACCATATTACTCTTTGTTTTTTTTTGAGTTCGATCTATCTTTTCTTTTCTTAAGATTCTATCTATAAGTGATACCAGGCAGTATTAGTCTTTGTCTTTGGCTCATTTCATTTAACATTAAAGTGCTTCATGTTTATCCACGTTGCTGCAAATAGCAGGATTTCCTTCTTTTTAAAGATTGAATAATCAAACAAATATTTTGAGTTCCTGTTTGTTAAGTGCCAAACTGGGCAGATTCTGGGGAAATGCTGTAAACAAGACATGCCCCTTGTAGTCTTCCCTGATAGAGTTTACATTTGAAAGTTCAAAGTCAAATAAACCTGTTTGGTTCTCCTTAAAAGTTTATGTAGTGGAGACCTACACCATGGCAAACTAAAAGGACAGGCTAGGGCAGAGATGGCGAACCTTTTGAGCTTGGTGTGTCAGCATTTTGAAAAACCCTAACTTAACTCTGGTGCCGTGTCACATATAGAAATTTTTTGATATTTGCAACCATAGTAAAACAAAGACTTGTATTTTTGATATTTATTTTATATATTTAAATGCCATTTAACAAAGAAAAATCAACCAAAAAAATGAGTTCGAGTGTCACCTCTGACACGCGTGTCATAGGTTCGCCATCACTGGGCTAGGGGCTTGGAGAAGGGGTGGTGCTTGGGGACCAAACAATAATTAGCAATTTGGATTGTTAAATGGAATGTGCAACCCTCAAAGACAAAAACCTGGTAACTGTTAATTGACAGTATTTCCATACATTAGGGATATTCTGAATAGCAATGTATTTTGTAATACAAAAAGCTTCACATATTAAGAAAAAGGCTCATCTGATAAAGAAAACTGTTTTAATTATAGAATGCTTTTAAATACTAAATGAAATAGTCACAAGAGGAGGGTTGGTTTAATAAATAAATTTGGTTCTTTGCAGGCAACATCTACAAATGATGTCAAATTAGATGAAATAATTTTAAAAATTAGATTAAATATTCATCCCAATTATATGCACTAGTATATAATTTATTATTTATTTATTACTGTGTGGTTTTTTTTGTTTTGTTTTCACACATTTTGCAAAGACATACTTTCTCATATACAGTCCAGACTTCCAAAAATTCCCAAGAGGTTGACTCTTATATAGTGAAACTCCAGTTTGTGAGTTTGACTCTACGTGAAGGCAGTCATCAACTTGTTAACAGCCATGTCTTCCACCGAAGTATGAAACCCAAAACAAATTTTAGTGCCTTCTCATTCAATATTTGCCATGTTTCTTACCAGATTAGAGTATGACAGATGTGTCCAAATTTTTGATTATTTTATCTAGGTGAAAGGTAAATATCTATAATAATGAAAGTATAATATGCTAATTAGACTGGACATCCTTCCAGATGACCTTCCAGACAAAGCTGGGGCTGCAAGGGAAGCCCGGGTGCCGGGTGCCAGAGGGAAGCCAGTGCCAGCAGCCGGGGGAAGGAAGGACTACTCTTGCATGAATTTCGTGCATCAGGCCTCTAAGTAGTTTTAATAAAGAAAAATCAACTGTGCCCTTATATTGTTATTAAAGATATTTGTAATGCCTAGCCCTGCAGTTTTAGATGACCAGTTCTGTATTTTTTTTGTCATTTACATTTTACTTTCTTGGTAAAAATTATCTTTGTCTTACAGTTAATATCTCAATATCTAATGACACCACATTGGCTCCAGAGGAATTGCCAACTACTGACACGGTAAGTGACTTAATATTCCGAACCACTTGTACACTTGCACATTGTATACCCTAATTATTATATTCATAATGTGATATCTCCTTCCACTCAGCAAGCCTAGCCCAAGCACGTTTAACACTCAGTGATGGTAGAAGGACAGAAATAACACTTTCCTTGCTCTATTTAGCTTGCTTTTTCTTTTGTGTGTGTGTGTGTTTTTTGTTTTTAAACTGGAGTGAATATTTTCTTCTACCGCATGCTTTTTAAACCTGCTTAGGAATTTAACTGCTTAGCCAATTAACTGTCACCTTGAAATATTTTCACAAGGTAAAGTGAGGGGAGTCGAGAAATGAGAGCATGGTGTCCTCTCTCTGTTCCTAGTACAATTAGGAATTCTTCTGACTGTGTTCTCCTCACTAAAGAGTGATTGTAGTGGGACATTTCCCCTGTCACTTAGAAAAACACCAAGCCTCTGTCACATGATATCCTTTCCCATGGCAAGTAACCAAGGGTCTTTAAGAGACTTGAACTAAGTTTTCAAAATGAGCTGTTTTGCATGGAAGGTCACACACTGGAAGGAGACTTTTGTGCTTGAGAAAAAGAGGAAAGTGCTGTCTCACACTTCCCATTGTGTTCCTCCCACCCTGGACATGGACTCTGACCAAAGACTATCAATCTCTCACTTATAAAGACGGAAACCATAATACCTTGTATTGATAGAGTGCCCATCTCTCAGGAGACCAGAACACTTCTGCAGGTATTACACACAACATCCCTTTCAAAGATGATGTTTTGTATCTTTCCTGGATAACTCTCACTTGATCCTATTTCTCTCTTGTTTTCATAGTCTGTGGCTCTCTTAACTTTTTAAAACTTTTCTCTGACTTTCCCCAAACATAGCCTCTTTATTTCTTCCACATTTGAGTGTGTGTCTGTATGTGCATATACCTTTTAAAAGCCACATTGAGAAAAGAGTTCAGTTTTCAATCTTTGAGCCAGCCAGCCTATTGCCTGAAAGGATTTGATTTAAAATACAGAGAAAAATACTCTCTTCTAGACTTTAAAGAATTTTAATTAAAATCTAAAAATTTAAAAGTATATTTAATTAAAACCGTAAACAATAAAAATTAATAAAACACTCGTTTCCACTGACTTAAAAAGAGATTGTTCCTAACCTAATTATTTTTGTAACTAATCAAGGAAAGCCATAAAATTAATGAATTTTTAAGCCCTGTCTTTGGGCAAGACCTGGGGAGACTTCAGTAATTGATATATCATAATTATAGTCAGATGGCACTGTAAGATTCATGGAAAACAAATGGCAGTTTGTGACTATGATAGAGGATATAAAGGCACAATGATGATTATAATTTAACTGCCAATTATAGAGCATCTGCTACCAAGGTGTTGTACATGTCTTATAATCATTATAAACCTTAATATGTATTATAATCATTAACACAAACTACCAGGCATGAATATCTCCATTTGCTAGATGAAAGAAACTGAAGTTCCAGAAGGTAAGAAATCTTTCTTGCTCTAGGTCACATAGCCATAAATTTGTAGAACAGAGAATTGAAGTCTGGGTAGTTCCAAGACTTGTGATATTGGAAACACTGAAGCACCATGATGCTTCAGTGTTTGCAAATTGAAATGTTTACCCTCTCAGTTCCTATGAGTGCTGTATTTTTCAGGGCAGCAGCCCCTCCTGTGTGCACTAATTGCACACTTTAATTAAATTGTTAAGTGGCTATGTTCAGAGAAAAAATTAGGGAAAAATATGCATATGTGTATATATAATTATGAAAGATAATGTTTATTCTATTTTCATCTCTCCTTTTCTATCCATATCAATTCCTTTGTGTGTACTTTGCATAGACACACACATAGACAATATATAGGTAGATAATCTAGAAATGAGTATTGAAGAGGTAATATGATTATTATCATCAGCAATAACTACCATTTTTTAAGCACCTACTAGGGGACAGACGCTTTACATTAATTGTCTATAATCCTTACAATAACTTTGTGAGCTATTATGTAACCTGTAATTTATATATGAAACAGAGGCTTAGAAAGGTTAACTGACCTTCCAAAGGCCATATCACCAGTATATGATAAAACCAGTATTTGAACTTAGGGCTTTCCAACTCCAAAATTTGCTCATTTCCATTGTTTGGGTAATCACCACTGTTTCATGTAGAAGACTTGTAGATATTGAGTTCTTGTGTCAGACTGCCTAGCTTCAAATGCAAGGCTCCACTACTTACTAGCCTGTGGAAACCCAGTGATCCCACTTCTAGGAATATATCCCAAGAAACCAGAAACACCAATAAGAAAGGATATATGCATCCCTATGTTCATAGCAGCACAATTTACCATAGCTAAGATTTGGAAACAGCCTAAGTGCCCATCAACAGATGAATGGGTTAAAAAACTGTGATACATCTACACAATGGAATACTACGCTGCTGTAAAAAAGAAGGAATTCTTACCATTTGCCACAGCATGGATGGAACTGGAGAGCATTATGCTAAGTGAAATAAGCCAGTTAGAGAAGGATAAATACCACATGATCTCACTCATTTGTGGAATATAATAAACAACATAAACTGATGAACAAGGACAGATCCAGAGACGGAGAGTCTTCGACCGGACCATTGGGCCTCGGAGGGAAGGTAGGGGAGGCTGGGGGTAAGGGGGAGAGATCAACCAGAGGACTTAAATGCAAGCATATAGGCTTAACCAATGGACACGGACAACAGGGGGTTGAGGGCATGAGTGGGGAGGTAGGGGGTAACATGGGGATAAGGACACATATGTAATAAATTAATCAATAAAAAAATTTAAAAAAATATCCTGTGGAAACTTCTGTTTCCCATTTGTAAACTGGTGATGGTAATAATATTTACACCCAAGATACCAAAAGTAGGCTTACAGTTGTCAGTACACAAATCACAAAGTTTATTCTTGTTTTATTATTGACTAGAGGCCTGGTGCACAAAAATTTGTGCACTCGGCGGGGAGGGAGGGGGTCCCTCAGCCCAGCCTGTGCCCTCTCGCAGTCTGGGACCCCTCAGGGGATGACCACCTGCTGGTTTAGGCCCGCTCCCCGGGGAATTGGGCCTAAGATGGCAATCAGACATCCCTCTGGCAGCCTGGCAGCCCTCGGGGGATGTCTACTTGCCAGTGGGGAGCAGGCCTAAACTGCAGTCGGACATCCTTAGTGCTGCTGAGGAGGCAGGAGAGGCTCCCACCACCACCGCTGTACTGGCAGCCATCAGCCTGGCTTGTGGCTGAGCAGAGCTCCTCCCATGTGAGAGCACCCTGACCACCAGAGGGCAGCTCCTGCAATGAGAGTCTGCCCTCTGGTGGTCAGTGTTTCTCATAGTGACCAGTCATTCCCAGTCTTTCCGCTGTTAGGGTCAGTTTGCATATTACCCTTTTACTATATAGGATAGAGGCCTGGTGCATGGGTGGGGGCCGTCTGGTTTGCCCTGAAGGGTGTCCCGGATCAGGGTGGGGGTCCTGCTTGGGTGTCTGGCCAGCCTGGATGAGGGGATGATGGCTGTTTGCAGCTGGTCACACCCCCTTCAGGGTGGTGGTCCCCACTGGGGTGCCTGGCCAGTCTGGGTGAAGGGCTGAGGGCCATTTTCAGGCTGGCTGGTGACTGAAGCTCCCAACCTCTCCTTTTTTTCTTTTTTTTTTTTAATTCTGGGATTTATTTGCTTTCTATGGCTGTCACTGGAACTGAGAGCCAGCTTTAGCTCTGAGGCTTGGCTCCAGCTCTGAGACCTCGGCTGCTGAAAGTAGGTATCTGGGTTTGTTTGGGTTCTATAATTGTAACACTGTTGCGGTCCTGCTCGCTCCAGCTCTGACGGCTGAAAGCAAGTTTCTGGGGATTGTTTAGCTTCTATAATTGCAACATTGTTTCTTAGACTGCAGCTCAGAGGCCGGCAGCTGCAGGCGGGGAACCTTGGCTTCCTCCATCACTGGAGCAAGCAAGCCTCCTATTCGCTTCAGCTGCCTGACTGCCGGCCGCCATCTTGGTTGGCAGTTAATTTGCATATCTCACTGATTAGCCAATGGGAAGGGTAGCGAAGTTACGGTTAATTACCATGTTTCTCTATTATTGGGTAGGATTACCTTTTGCATTATTTTCCATACAAACACCTGTAAACCTACTTTTGCTCCTCTCGGTATAAGGGTCAAATAAATAAATAAATAAATAAATAAATTGTTTTTTAGTAAATTGAGGCCTGTTGTAAAATGTGCAGTTCTTATGTGTTCACGGCCATACATTTTGGCAGTTTTATACACTCATGTAACTGCCACCCCAAACAAGAACACCCCCCTCATCCCAGAATGCCCCATGGAATGTTCAGGTCTTGTTCTATGCCCCAGCTTTTGGGCTTTGAGAGATCTTTTTTCTTCCAACTGCTCTGCCTCAATATCTAGGGGTCAATGCCTTAGTCCTCGTTAGTCAAAAGTGCCTGAACGGCTCCGAGGGTTTTCTCCTGCCCTGCCTCCCATCTTAGGAAAGGGGCTTTCTTGCATTTGGTGGAGACTCTGGGTCTAAGGGGGGATTTCTTGCAGCAATCTTATCTAACCTCCGGCCTTCTCTATGCTACCCGGGCACATGGCAAAGACTGAGAAAGTTTTGTGGGTGGATACAGGCTCCATTTATGCCTGGGGCCCCTCAGAATCCTAACCGGCAGTGAGGCAGCTGTTAAAAATTCATTTAACGTTTGGTTTATTTCTCCTTACCTCCATCTGTAGTTGCTTTATCTTCCACCTGCTACTCTGCCAAGGGTGAGGCAGCTTTTGAAGGTTTTGTAACTTTTTGGAATTTATTTAGGTTTCTTTGCATCCTCATCTCTGGTGGATGTTTAAAAATTATGATTTTATAGCTTATCCAGCTGTGACGGTATCCTGCAATTTCCTGAATCTTAACTAATTAATTTTGATATTTTACAATAATGCATGTAATACAGACAAGTGAAGCTCAAATGCATCCTGTCCATCATAAAATAAGATTGTAGATTACTGCAAATCTGACTCACCCACTGCAGGGAAGAACCCTAAATGAGTACATGTTCTATTTAACCTTGAGACTTTTATTTATAGCATTACCATCATTTATATATATTTAAAAAGGCATATGTTTTACCAGTCTATACTCAAAGAGAGCAATGTAGAATTTTTAATTTTTCAATTTTTTCCCTTATTATATTACCCAGAAAAGCATATCATGTCTACATGAAGATGCTGTTAATCATGGGACTAAGAAGTATTATACTCTCATATATTCTGCTGGGCAGCCAGACATGAAAGCAAAAGTGCTTTGATTTGATATACCTTCTGGGCAATTTGAGGAGTGAACATTTATTTCAATAGGAAATGGAATGTCATGTTTATCTTCTTGTGCGTAGCATCCTTATGCTTTTCTCTCATTGAGAAAGATAAGTGCAGGAACCACTCTGTCCTTAAATCTCCTTGAAGATTACATGTGCCTAGTGCCTAGTTATTAAACTATTATGGAACATGTAAAACGTGCCCTAAAGTAGAGAGCATAGCACAGTGAAACCCACATACATATGACCTAGCTTCATTCTGCCCATCCTCTCTCATCTAGCCCCCACTTTTGTGATTGGAGAGGATGCTATAGTATTTTAAATTTTGAAATTAATTTTTTAGTATACATTCTACTTTTAAGAGTTAGAAACAAATCCACTTAATATAAACAGGGTCTCTAGAAGATGAGACCCAGATAAATAGACTAAAATCTTCTTCTATGAGCTTGACCTCAGTTAAGACCACCAGAAACTTGATCCCATTTCCTTTACTTTTTTTTCTCACTTTCCATTTACATGGACAATCTGCTTTGACCCACCTGGTCCACTCACTGTCAGTCCCTCCACATGGTGAGAACTCAGTAAGGTTTGAATAAAGGACTTAATGGATAGGTGAATGAAGCATTGTGTGTAAGCAAGAAAAGATCTTCATCGTTTCACGTACGTGTGTATAGTTTTCACTTCAATCTGAATCTCTGTAAGAAAATCAATAAAACTTCCTGTTGGTATTGTTTTAATGCAGCCTACCTCTTTGGGAACTCTAGTTATAAAAAAGCATTCTGGCCCTAGCTGGGTGGCTTAATTGGAGCCTCATCCCATACACCAAAAGGTTGTGGGTACATACCTAGGTTGCCAGTTCGATCCCAGGTTGGGCCCATATACGGGAAGCAACTAATGGATGTTTCTCACTCACGTTGATTTTTTTTTAAATTCTCTTTCTCTCTCTTTCTCCCTTCCTCTCTCTTTAAAATAAAAATCAATAAAAACATATCCTCAGGTGGCAATTGAAAAAAAAAAAGTCATCCTGCCGATATAAAAGACCCTACCTGAAATTATAGTAAATATTTGCTGATTTTAAAACAAAGAAATCTGTTACCTATCATGACCTCTAAACTTTAAATGTATTCTGCTGAAAACATCCATTTGCAGAAATTTGAAAAAACAAAATGAGACATGGTTAATCAACTCTCAGGAGCAGAATTTGATAAAGGAGTAATTATGCAATTCAGGTGTTTTTAAGTTAAGCTAATATAGAAAAAATATTTCAGGGAATGATTTAGAGTTTATTTTTGTTGTTGCTGTAAAAGAGAAGTGGGAGCACTTTACATGTTGAGTTCTATAAAAATATAGCACGTTTCCTGTCCAGAAAGTCTTCTTTTATATGTATGATCTTTTTTGACTAGATCACTCCTATTAACATATCAAGAGAATTCATTGTACAGTAAATGGTACTGAGGATGCATTTGGTTTGAGGTAGAATTCTTGCTTCCAAAAGACAGGAGAAATTTCCCTTTCCACACTTATTTGCAAGGTATCCTCAAATAGCTCTTCTGTTTACACATATACCTATTAGCCCTGTACCCAAGAGGAAGTCCAGTATCATGGTATTGGCAGATTCAGTATCTGGTGCGGATGTGCTGTCTACCTCATAGACAGCCTTCTCCTCACTATGTCCTCATATGGCAGAAGGGGCAAGGGAGCTCTCTGGAAGGACACTAATCCCATTCATGAAGGCTCCACCTCCATCACATAGGGAATTAGGTTTCAACATTGAGTTTTATTCAGTCAGTAGCACCCCATTAATGTGGTCAGTAATTGGCTTCAGGAGGGTATAACATTCCAGGTGAGGTAGCTCTGACTTAGGCTGAAGGTAGTTCTCTAGAGAAGGAGGGAGCTGTGAGCTGGTTGAGACTAAAACTCAGAGCAGCTGGGGGTGGGTGCACTGGCCTATTCATTACCTTAGCAAAAGGATTCTCCTGAATAGCAGAAACAGAAAATAGGAATAGGAGTGAGCTGTTCTTGAGAAGCACAACACTGACAACATGACAGCAACTTATGAGAAGGAAATTTGAAAATTGACCTTTTTTTTTTTTTTTTAAAAATATATTTTATTGATTTTTCACAGAGAGGAAGGGAGAGAGACAGAGAGAGTTAGAAACATCGATGAGAGAGAAACATCGATCAGCCGCCTCCTGCACATCCCCCACCGGGGATGCGCTCGCAACCCAGGTACATGCCCTCGACCGGAATCGAACCCGGGACCCTTCAGTCCGCAGGCCAACGCTCTATCCACTGAGCCAAACCGGTTTCGGCTGAAAATTGACCTTTGAGCTTGAGGCCATGTAATGTAGGGATGGATGGATATCCCATACACAACACCACAGCCCATTACCGCACTGCCGGGAGCTGGTCCATCCTTGCTGTTTCAAAGGACCTGGCATGTATGGCATACTGTTCTTAATATGTTTGCTCACCTTCTTGGCACTATGTGTTTTAACCAAGGTCTCCTCTCTGAGAAAGGTTGCTTCCCCAGGTAGGGATCTTCCCCTGAAGCTAGGGAGGAAATAAAACCCCTCAACTAAGTGCCAGGCGGGTAATTAATCACTTTAACTACGAACAATCATACTTAAGCTACATAATCTTTACTCCCTGGAATGGAGATAAGAAATGCCCTAACCTTTGTAATAGAGATTGATAGGATTGAATCAACTGGTATAAATACAGATGTAACAAGACAGCAAGACACAGAACTTAGAAGACAGAACCTACACAGAACCTAGAGACAGAAGAACTTCGCTGGAGAGAACATGGCAAAAGATCCTGGACAGAAACTGGCCACAGAACCTAGAGACAGAACCTGGCTACAGAACCTGGATAGAACATAGCAAGAGAACCAGACTAGAACCTGGTGACTGAACCTGGCTGGAGAACCTGGACAGAACCTGGCTGGAGAACCTAGTGAGGGAACATGGCTACAGAACCTGGCTGGAGAACCTAGCAAGAGAACATGGACACAGAACCTGGCTGGAGATCCTGACCAGAACTTCGCTGGAGATCCAGACCAGAACTTGGCTGGAGATCCTGGCTAGAGATCCTGGCTAGGCTTCTGATCAACTGAACGCTGTCTCAGTGTCATTTCTTCTTAGCCGACTCCATCCACACCTTTGGGGACCCCTGGACCTGCTGGGGTTGGACCCCAACACCGCACATTCCAATGAGGGATGCTCATGATGCAGACCTGGAGTCAACAAGAAAAAAAGCTATGTTTTATCAGGATGTACATTGAAAAAGCAGGGCCCATCAACATTTTATAGTTGTATTCCTTAATTTTCCAACTGTAGTTATTTAGAAAACAAATAGCTCACTTGTGAATATGTTAGGTAAATGAGTAGTTAACAATATATACTAACTTTTAGTACATTAAAAGCTTGAAGCATAAGGAGCTGCTCACTACAAAAGTAAGTACTTTTGAACAACCGTGTTTCAGACTCTCACATTTTGAGACAGGATATTGTGCCTCAGTTTACTCTCAGGAAGACTAATGGGAAAGAAGGTCTTGGTTTGTTTCGGTTGAACAAATAGGTGACTGTTAGGTTGTAGCTCAAAGTAGGTAACAGACTGTGACATTCTCATTGTATTTTCAATAACTGCCAGCCTCCTGGGCACCCGTACTTGTTATCCCATTAACATCTCACCCAGTTTCACCCTGCAAAGATGGCCTTCAGACTGTTGCACAGTGACTTTTAGCATAATCTCTATTGGCCCCTCAAGTAGAAAAGCTTTTGATATGTCAGTGTGCTCTAGAAAAATGTTAATGTTTTTCTTCTTCAGTACTACAATGCTACCTTTGACTGGGCACTTTTGTCGAAGAAGGAGTGTTTGAAACATGGAGGCCAGCTCGTGGGGAGCAACTGCGATTTTGTTCCTGATGTCACACTCATGTCTTTCATCCTCTTCTTGGGCACCTACACCACTTCCATGGCTCTGAAAAAGTTCAAAACCAGTCGTTATTTTCCAACCATGGTAAGTACTTGAGCTTTAAATAATTTTCATTGAATTTACACTGTATCAACAATGATATAATTTTATGTAAGGAAAAGGGCACCTGTAATTCAACCTTTCCAATGTAATTTTGTGCATTTAAAAATTTGCTTTCCAGTCTTTTTCCATATGCATATGTATTTTTAAAATAATTATAGTCCAGCTTTGAAAAACCTTCCATGGATTTTGCTCACATAATTCTGTCATAAATTCTGACTGTCATAATTCTGACTGTACTAAAATGAAAAAAAAATGGAGCATGTTGTACGTAAAAATTCACAAGTTAAAGAAAATATCTTTTAAATCCATAGTGTTTGAGTATGGAAGCAAAAACTCATTTCATATTAATCAGGAATTTTGATGTAGAATTTCTTGCTCATCAGATGTCCAATTGAGTATTTTAGTAGTTAAATTATGAGCCATGGGAGAAAACTTCAACTGGGTTGTTACACAAGTATTGGCATAAGATATGAGTGTTATCTTAGCCAAACTTTCCATCCCATAATAATGAATGTCATGGTATGGAAAAACAGATGATTGAGTTAAGTTGTGTAGACATCCTGTCTCCCATTAATATGCTTGGTTGAACATAAAGTCACAACTGTGATTCTTTGAGACAGTACAAGATAAGATCAACATTTAGATAATGGCATTGTGTGTGTGTGTGTGTGTGTGTGTGTGTGTGTGTGTGTGTGTTTCACCTGAAGAATAAAACTAAGATAATCCTTTGTTTCACAGTTCAGTTCTCAGTGTTTAGGATGTCAGTAATTCTTAGGTAATTTTGATAATACCTGATTTTTATCAGTGAACTGCTCTATACTGGAATTTCATGAAATCTTTTCTCTTGTGTTTTGTGTACAAGGAGTGGAAGAACTTAAAAGGCATGAGATGCATTTGAGGAAGTTCCTTTTTTCAATGCCTAGGAAATGAAACTTAAAATTAATACTTTGACTCTTTGATTCTTCTTATAAAATTGAAAATAAAGGGGTAGGTTGGTCATTGTCTTAGTCTATTTGAGGTACTGTAACAGAATGCTATAGAATGGGAGGCTTATAAACAACAGACATTTATTTCTTACAATTCTGGAGGCTGGGAAATCCAAGATTAGAAGCCATCATGGTTGGGTGAAGGCCCTGTTTCTGGCTCATAGCCATCGCTTTTTTGCTGTGTCCTCATGTGGTCAAAGGGCTAGGAATCAGTTTGGTGTCTCTTTAATAAAAATACTAATCTCATTCATAAAGGCTTCACCCTCATGACCTAAGCACAATCCAAGGCTCCACCTCCTAATACCATCTTCTTTGGGGGTTAGGATTTCAATATATGGACTTTGGGGGGGACACACATTCAGACCACTGCTATAAATGAAATGTTTTGAACTAGTTTACCCAAGGAATGAAAAATTTCCACAAAGTTGAAATGTAGAAAGAAGTATTCAACTTAGTCTGCCTAAAATTGACACCACAAACTGGTGGTCCACAGGCAGAATTTAGCCCCCAGCCATTCTTTATTTGTACACACACATACACACACTTCAGGCCTTAGGGGTCTGTACTTCCCAGGTAGTTATTATCCTCACAACTCTGTATTGTCTAAGACTTGACTACTTCACACATTCAGATTAATTGCCTGTCCCTGAAGATGTTTCAGCTTGTAACACCTTCACACACTGGGAAATATGCTTACTTGACCTACCTCTTCAATGGTGAAAGTTTCCTATAGAACAGATTCTTGAGGAAAGGTCTTTTAGGATGATTTCTTCTCTATTGAGGCTTTTTTCTTTATTAATTATTAATTCACTGAGCAACTTGGGAATCATCATCCACTTTCCAAAGTCTGATATTTAGACATAGCCGGTGGAAAAGTGAAAACTTTATGAAGCAATCGTAATTAACAGAATAAACTAATTTCAACCTTAAGATGAATGGAGATAATTTTAACTGTCTATATAGACATTACCTCTTTTCTTCCAGCAATAATTTCAAAATTGAAAATAGCTCTTCAGATTTAAAGAAATTTTTCCCTTAGGAGAATCCAAGCAGGTAATTTCTCAGCCATTGATAAATGCTCTTGAAAAAGTTGTGAATATGTAAAAATAGAATAATGATGCATTTGTAGTAACAGTTCCTGTTAAGAAGATTCCAACATAGTTGAGAATTGTATATACCAAATCATACAGTAAACAGGAGGAGAACACATGCTATTTCTAAGAAGCAATGTTCAAGTGTGTGGGCTTTCAGACTTTCCTCTTCTTACTTCACATGTGCAGCTACATAGTTGCAATACATACATAAATTCACATATATATACATGAATAATAAGTAAAAAAAATTGCTTGTTCATTTGCCAACATATGTTTTTAGTTAAGCCAGGGTGGGGAACGTCTGGCACTCAAGCCTTATAAGGCCCATGAAATCCTTTGGTCTGGCCATGCCAAGGCATTAGGGGTGAGTTAATTAATTGTTTGATCAAATATAGCAGGCTAATTTTTAAGTTGATAATTTTGTATGGCCCGAGAATGATGTTATAAATATCTAAATAGTCGGTGGCAGAAAAAAGGTTCCCACCCCTGATTTAAGCTGTCATTTAGAAGGATGGTCTCAATAGAGTAGGAGCAGATAGGTTTATAGATTCTTACACTTACATATTATATTCTACAATTAAAAATTATATGCTTAAACATGATAAATTAGATAGTCCTTGATTGTTGATACAATAATTAAGCCTGTTACTACTTTCTCACTCACACCGACAAGAAACCTCTGAAATCTCCAAATGTTAATACTAGATGGCAGTACCCTGGTCTTACAAAACACCTTATTTTTCTGTAGCCTTCACAGTCATGTCTCTTTCCTACTCATTTCAAAACATTTGTATGAATTATTAATCAGCTAAGACTGTAAACTGCTGGAAAGCTATTGTACTTCTATTTTATTCCTCACATATCCATTAGCAAAATGCTGGATGCAGATTAGGTACTTGACTCATGGAAACTAGTCAAGTAGATACATGCTGCATTCTAAGAAAAGAGCACAGATGTAGGAACACAAAAGCTGTAGAGTCCAGTTCCAGAACTGCCATTGGCTAACATGTACCCTTTCCTAGCAAACTGTGGACTTAGGTGAGGTTAAGTGTAGGGAAACCACAGGGAGAGTGTAGTGTCCAGTGCTCATAGCAGTGGGGTTGTTACTATCCCAGCCCAAAGGATGTGGAAAGGAAGTGGCTGCTGGAACCTGGAAGAAGAGAGAAGTGTAGAGAAAGCTGTCTTGAGAGGCACTGTGACCTTGGATAGAGAGATGTAGCCAGTGTGAGGCAGCCTCACTGGGATACAGTGAAGGGAATCAGTACTCTGATCTCTTGCTTTCCTCTGTTGGCCTGTCCAGATTGCCATGGACTAAATCCATCTGGAATCCATAGAGCAAGGGAGCTCATTGTAGACCACACAGGTCAGCCTCACAATGCAAAGAGCATGGTGGAAAGGCATAGAACATAGATCTGTTTTGACAAAAGATGGTGTCCATTGCATTTGCCTCTCCAAGTTTTTTTTTTAAGTCAAATTAACCTCATTACAGTCCTGTAAATTATCCCGCTATAATCTCTTTCCTTTACACTTATACTTCTGTTTCCCTAGTTCAGTTTCTCATTACTTTGCCTAGACCAGAGTCAGTTACCCATGCAATCCATCAGTATGAACACTTAAGATGAAAGAATTCTCCTTTGCTAGTCTGGCTCTCAGGAATTCAATTTGTATATCAGTCATTTCCAGAGAATCCGAATGCTCAGTAGATGTGGGTGGAATTTCAGTATTCCATCATGCCTCTGTTCTTGTTGGAGGGATGCATCAGTCTACTATCTCACACAGTTACTGGTCTGTTACATCAGCCTCAAGTCTTTAGTCAAAGTCTTTCAGTATCAAAACATCACAGCTTAATCTGCGATCTTCTGTGGCAGATGACTCAGGGAATTAAACCTAAAATACTCTTCCAGAATCCCATTCCAGCAAGTGACCATAAGCATGGAACAAAAATGCCATCACGGCACATCTGCTGGCAAAATGAAAGCAGAAGCTTAAAGACAGAGTAGAACTGTGATGAGTAGAATTTATAAAACTATAGAGCCCTCTGAATTAGGCAAAATTATTGGAACTTTTAATATGTCAAATTCAGTGTGGCCAGCTGATATATATAATTGACATGAAAATGCCGTTCTAAAGGAACTGTTTAATTTTCTTTTTTTCCTCTTAGACTAAGTAACAATTTAAACCCTCACATGAATTAATGTAGTGGTAAGATTTTTATAGATAATGCATCCTAGTTGTAATAGTTATTTAAATAAATAAAGTCAGTAGATTCCAGGTGAAATTTATGAAACCTACGTTTTATTTAGATGAAACTTGAGCAGAAAGTTCTTTGATGTCAGTATTTAGAAAACAAAACACTATTCTATATCATATAATATCATATAATACTTTCAATATGGAAAAAATATTGTAACTTCATGCTTGACACAATACTAGGACAAATTAATTCATGGACCTAACACATAGTTGGAACTTTATATTTGTTGAATAAGTTAGATTTTTGGATTTTGAAATGATAATGACTCATTTTGACCCTTTTGCCACATTCATGGTTATGATCTCCTATAGGGTCACACTTTGGTGCCTTCTTTGACTTAAGTAAGCTGATGGTGGTCGATGAGGACTGGCTTTATGGATGGGTTCAGAAATGTCAGTGAAAACATGAGCATTTTAGTTAGGTGATGCATTTGGTTTTTAGCCATATAATACACAGGAGAGACTAGAATTCCACAATTGACTTATATTTTTGGAAACATGTTTTTTGTTTGACATTTTGGCCTGTGACAATTCTATTAAAGTTTGATGTGTTTAGTTTATAAACAACTCTATAAAAATCAGGTGACACCTCTATTCTATTTCCTTTTTTCTCAGAAACTTTCTGATGAATGGTAAAAGCTGTCAAACA